AACGTGTGAGGAGTCCTCCCCCTGAGGAGCAGGGAGCAGCAGAAAACAACAGAGTAATGAACTGACCCTAACCCCCATTCCCTGTTCCCCACCCCGTGCTGCTGGGGGGGGAGGAGGGAGAGAAAATCGGGATCAAAGTTAAGCCCGGGAAAGGAGGGAGGGGTGGGGGGAAGGTGTTTTAAGATTTGGGTTTATTTCTCATTACTCCTCTCTGAGTTAATTGGTAATAAATTACGTTTTCCTGTAGTCGAGTCTGTTTTGCCTGTGACGGTAAATGCTGAGTGATCTCCCTGTCCTTATCTCAACCCCACAAGCCTGTTGTTATTTTTTCCTCTCCCCTGTCCAGTTAAGGAGGGGGAGTGATAGAGTGGCTTTGGTGGACACCTGGCATTTGACCAGGGTCAACCCACCACACAAGAATATGATATAATCAAAATTCCAGCAATTTAAAAATACATTAAAAGGGAAAAAAAATTCTTGTAGTAATGTTTCCAGGCACCATGAGTTAGTGGCATTCAAAATGAAGAGCCTCAGTGAAATCAAACCCACGTTTCCAACATCCGAGAGCAAGTCTTGTGTCCTTAAATTTAAGCCATCAGTGCTTGACACAAATACTAAATTTCAAGAATAAAATGTTCCCAGAAATAGTTCATCTCTAAGGTAAGAAAAAACATTTAAGATCACTTTCTAGACATAACATGAGTAGCATTCATAAGTTACAATAAACTTGAAGGACAAGGAACTGACAAAAATAGAAACACCAAGAATATTAATAACTAAGGATCTCTATACAGTACCAGGAATTTTCTCTCCTATTTCTGATAGTTTTGTGTAAAAATAACCTTCCACAGTTCTTAGATTTCTCTACTTATTTATATAACAGGTACTTGAATGTGCATCAGCAGTATATTCATACCATGTGGAAACAGTACACAATGCAGAACTGCATAGTGGTTATGTCTGGACAGGAAAACCTTTCCTTAATTTGCAGAACATGTGCAAAGCTTCCTCCCTGTCATTCACTCAGTGTGTAGCTCCAGTAATCCGCTGGCTAAAGTTTAATCCCTCACCACAATTCTTCCATTTTGTTGCAGAGAACACACTGGTCTGCAACAAAATGGATACGGAGGTGCCTATGTGACCTTACTAGAACCTTACTCTGCCTTACTCTATGCTTATGTTTTCTTTTTCAGAAGCATATAACTTAGTTTCCTACATTACAAATGCTACTTACCATGTCCGAGTATTGACTTCATATCTGTAAAGATCATCCACCAATCCATACTTATTGCCAGGTAATGCTTTGTATCCACCATGGACATAAACAGATTTTGTCAGTTCATCATAGACACTGGTATGGCCATATCCACCTTGCACAATTGCTCCTTTTGTTTCTGGTACGAGCCAAGAATTAGACCCTGGAATAGATGTACAAAAGACATAGATTTAAGGCTTACTATTGCTAACACACAATACTAGTTTTCAGTATATAAAAACATTTTCACTATAATTCTAAACACAGCAATAACTAGGGACTTGTTTTAAGAAGTAATTTTATACCAATGTATCAAAATATCTGCAATTGGATAATGTTGTTGACTATTATCTGCCATTCTTGATGCAATCACAAACACATCACTGTTACAAGTGCCAGGCAGTATCTCATACTGTCCCATGTGTGAGTTCAGCACACACACTAATAAAAAAAAAAAAAGCCCAAACTTTTTTCGTATTTTCCCAAACCTAGAAAATATGAAATTAAGAGTCACAATTAATTCTCTCTCAACCTTAACTTTGTCCCACCAGAGATGGCTAAGATAAGAGTTCAGTGCTCCAGCTACTTCAGCTGCAGCAGGAACACCTGTGCTCGATCACGGGGAAACTGTCTGGAGAAGCCTGGCAGAAACTGAACTGCTGTGAGTTGAGAGAAGCATGTAATGTAAGGTAGCTCAAAGTACACATGGATACAGACAGACACTTTGCTAGTAAACTGCAAAACTGAGCTAAAATCAGTTTCCATCCACTGTTTCTTAGCTATTTAACTGCAAATATACCTACTCAGTTGCTGAAAACTCACAGAAGGATAACTTGATAGCAGCTCATTAAACCGGCACTTAAATTCACATTTTACATCACATCATTAATAACTGCAAAGAGATGCCCAATAAAACTATTCACAATAGCTGTTATGACTGAAGAATAGAACACAATTGGAAAATATTTTACCATAGCAATAAAAAAGACAGAGAGGTTAAGTGACTTCTTGTTGCCTGTGGCCCTGAAATTTCCGTTTTTTTTTCCATCCATCTTCCCAGCTGATGACATAAGTCACAAAAAGAGCAAGCCAGGAGGTAAGTACCACCTGTAGAAGCCAGCCTATTCAAAAGAGACTATGATGGTAAGACAGCCAGTTCTATGGATGTGAAATGGAAGAAATAATTCACTTGGAGCCTCCTGAAAGTTACGTCAGAAGAACAGAATGTGTGGACAAGGACTTCCAAATTGGAGCAGTCTCCTAATTCTTAAACCAAATTGGCTGCCATTGTCAAGTTATTTATCCAAGGCTAGCACACAGCACCATACACCTTGCTTGACCTGAAAGTTAGTTTGAATTCCATTTCAATTTTTATCTGATATTATGCAGCTAGTTTAAGACTAGCTCTTTTTCCTCTGGATTCTTCTGTTCAGTGGAGACTCATGACTTCCAGTTATTACTGTCGCCATTCTACTTTCATTACACGGTTTCCAGGCACCGCCTTGATAAGCAAGTCACAATTTTCTCAGTAACAAGTGCTTATAGCAAATTACAAAGTATGGATTTAAACTGGAGGACTTCTGCTGATTTTTTGTATGTATGAATGCTAATATTTGTGTAATGCATTACTTATATCTGACACAGTATATTTAGATTATTTATACATAGTATAATGTAACTAGCACTCTATTCCAATCTCTGCATTGGATATTACCAAGCTATTAAAAACTGCAACTCTGAGCACAAACACCAAATTTGTACCAATAATTCTGTATTTTACATACATATTACTTTGCTAACAAATATATTTACTTGATACAATTTGTGTAAGAGGGTTCCTGAGGAGTCAACCTTCAGATACACCTTTATCACCAACATCATCCCCCTTTTTTCATTTAAATAGTAAGCAGTCCTAAAGACTGGCATATACGCTTTTCAGGGAAAAACAACTATTTCTACACATAAATTTACACCTTGGCATTGATCATACACATAGTAGAATATTTTGCATTTATATCTGACTGATTTATGTACCATTTAGAACACTGTCATGGTAAAATTGCATATTGCATAGCTTTACATGACTTGCACAGAAATACGAATATCATGTAATAAAAACACGTGCTATGGTTAACCACCTGAATTTGAGAAAAGAGGTCCAGCAACACCTCTCTGAAATAAAAGCCAAAAGCACTATTACAGTTTCTCCATCTATTTCCCATCCTAAAATTTAGTTGAGCTGCCTGAATTTTGAATACTGAAACGTACATAAGCAGTTTTGATCATTCACACTTCTTCAGCATCTTGAATATTGTATCATTCAGACAAAAATACACTTCTGTCTGAATTTAAAGACATTACTATACATATGATCTGGGCTTTTAAACAACTTATTGATATGGATCTTCACCTATCTTTTTTTTTAAAACAGAAATCCAATTTTTATTGAAGGTATTTACATAACTCTTCTCATCCTCAGAGATCCCACTCTTTCTATCAACAAATTAGATGAGGTACTTGATTGACCAAATCAGTCATGCAGAACTCTGCATCCTGAACAGCTTAAAAAGCCAAATACAGAAAGATGTCTATGAATAAAAAAAAAAAAATCCAGAAAAAAGGAAATAGGATTTTGTTTTATTTCCAGATTTCAATTTGTAATAGACAGTGTAAAAATAAGAGCAAATTAATTTTGAGAAGAAAAAAAAAAAACAAACCACACACACGCAAAAAAAAAATATTCCAGTAATATGGTCTTCCACTTTTCATTTGTAATTTGACATTTTTCATCAATATCTGGGCAACCTTCCAGAGAACTCTACCACAAAGTTTCTCTTGAAATGCTTAGGCACTTCACAATGATAACTTCACATAATTAAATCTGTCAGATACTAAACAGCTGGACAGTGTTACAGCTGGTATATTCTGTTCACCTTTGTCAAACAGCATCACGCAGTTCATGTCCAGCTTCACCACAACCATTTACACAAGACTGATCAAGTGAAAAAAAAAAAAATAAAAGGCATCTATGAAAACATGTAAACAGAAAAAGAAATTACAGCTGAGACAGATGCTAAACTCACTAATTTAAAGTACTGAAGCTGGGGGTATGACTCCGTTCCAAAATTCTGACAGATGCAGTAAGTGAAATTGCAGGCCCAGTAGCAAGCTTTTTAAACAAAGCCAGTTAGATATTACCAAAGAACAGCAACAATAGTGCTGACGTTAAAGATCAGAGGGAGGAGAGACAAGATCTGGAGATCTGGGCAATTAGAGATCTCAAGCTTGCTTAGTAATATGCAAAGATTTAGAAAAAAAAAAAGTATTAAAAAAAAAGGATAAACTAAAAATGTTGAAATAAGGGGAAACTGTTTCACTGGATAATAGAAAGGTAGCAAACCATTTACATCACATTTACCTAATCTACAGAAGGAAAAGTAGGTGTTCTCAGTATTTCAGCCTCAGTAACATCCTTACGATAGTGTCACAACAGCAGTCATAAAAGAAGCCATTATAATGGCATGGGATTTGGGCACTGAACAAGAAGCAGCAATGAACAATGTTGAGAGGTGCTGGGATTACTAGGGAGACTTCTTAAGGATCAGAACGAAGGCGTTTTATAATTTAGGGTGCAATAAGCGCATCAATTTAGATACTATGAGTTCACAGAAGCAGTAAAAAAAAAAAGCCATGCAGAATGAACTTGATGATCTTGACTACCAGAAAAAAATTATCAAAATCCAATAATAATTTAAAGATATTGTGCACTGGGATTAGCAACATGAAATTCTATAAAATGGAAGCTCATCAGTTGATAATGACTGAGAAGAATGAGTAGGAGCCCACTGCTTCATCAGAGAAAGTCTATGAGCCATTAATGACTTTCTCATGGACGCAGCACAAAAGTCCTTTTACTACACAAAAAGTGAGGTGTTCCCAATAACGTAGGATTAAGATTATTTAGCCAGGCACTGGTGAAATCTCACCTAGAATATCACAAAGGCTTTTCTAATCATCCATGTACAAGAGAGATTAATTCCTTGTGGAAACGGTACAGATATAAACTATTAGAGCGAGAGTGGAATAGATGAGGTTGCCTTAGTTAGTCTTGCAAAAGGGAAGATTGGTATCTATACATATAATTCAAAGACAATATCCAGAGATAAGTTGATTACATTAAACAATTTATCACCCAGAAAACAAGTGGATATAAACAGATCATTGATAAAGCTAGGCTATGAATTAGAAGGTGCCTAGTCACTAAAATTATAAACCAATTTTCCAATGACACTGTGAACAAAACCCAAACTGTTTAAGAGCAATCCTCATATATTTTTGAAAGGAACTATAAAATATGGTGTTTACTTTTTAAAATCCCTGGTTTTGATGGCCAAGGTGATTAATTCCAGCCTTTTGCTCACAGGAAGTTAATCACATCCAAAGATGTAACATCATTCCATTATCAAAGAATGCAAAGCAAGAGAAATGAGACAGAACCTCATTCATTCTTTTTTTCAGTTCATTTCTCTATAAGAAACTGATTGGGATGGCCAAATCAAGAAAAACTGCAAATTTGAGCAATAACCATTTTATAATTCAAACCAGAATAATAAAAATAGCATTTTGAGATAAAGTTGTCTCTAAAAAGATGTTTGGAAAAAAAAAAAAATGTTACTACGCAGTAATAAATCCACTAAAAAAAATCCAAGGAAAGGTAGATACATTGGCCTGATCTGTCCCTACCACAATACAAGCTTTGAACAGGTAAAAAGAACAAAATGTCCAAGAAGCACCCCCACGTGCCCTCTCCATTTCATTGCAGTGACAAACTAAAATTTCTCAAGAAACCATGAAGCTTATGCTAACTTACAAAAAAAAGAGGACATTACATCATAGGGCCATTTCTTTAAACACTATTTCAAAGACACATTTTTAATCAAAACCAACCTATAACCTACTTCTAAAGTCATAAAAAAATCCAGTCTAAATACCAAAGTGATATACTGCTAATCCAAACAAATCTCTGTCTTCTAAAAATATAAAATAAAATCACAGAAGATCTATTCAGAAGTTTCTTGATATATAAGGAGCTTTCATAAACCTCAGCTAAAACAAACCACCATTATTATATTCACCTTGAGATTCACATTGAGATTCTTACAAGGTTTATGAGGTACTGCTAACCTAAAGGGAAATAAATTTCCCTGGGGAGTAACCCAGAAAAGTTTTATGGTTCAAGTTAGTAAAATCATTCACATAATTCCCATACCAGGATTTATTGGTTCCTCAAAAGTTGTAAGTCTAGGTATAGCAAGAAAGGACAAGAGGAAGCTCTTTTGTTCCTGCAACAACCACTATACCTTAGGAGTAGAAATTAATTCCCATGGTTTTGCAGGGTGAAGATCTGCCTGCAAACCATGTCTGATTTTTCCAGAATTTGACTTTGATAGAAATTCTTCACTAATCAGACAACATCAGAGAAATTTTCAGACCATGCACACATTTGTTTCACGTGTTTTGTTAATACAAACTACATAGATGTGTGAAAAACTAGGCAATTCACAAATAATTAAAACTTCTTCAGATGTTTCTTGAGCCAGACCCTATGGAAATCAGGGTCACAGTAACTAAAGAAGGATTTAGTAACAGCATTCCACATATCAAGTTCAAAGTTCATTACAGGACTTAATCACTAGATGTTTCAATTCAGATGAATCAAATGGTAAGTTGCTTCTTTCTATGCCTCTCAGTAGGTATCTGCTAAATGCTTGAAAAACAGCCTTCATTAGGACCAAAAGCCATGGCTGATAACATTTAGAAAGAATAAAGCAGTACAACTGAAAATGCTAAGGCAATGTATGCTTTAAAATCAGGCACAGAGAGAGAAATTTGATTCCAATTTTTCTTTCTGTAACGTCAGAAGACCTTTTTTACCACAAATTTTCTTTCCTATTTAGGTGTGTTCAGAGCAATACTTCTATCACCTCCTATGTCTTATAAGGTTGGATTCCGAGCTGCTGAAGTCCCAGAAAAACTAGTCATTCTTAGTTCAAACTGCCATCTGGAATTTTATGGTTGAAAATGATCCTACAGCTGCAAAACTGTTGATAAATGCTGCAGCTGACACAGAATTCAGGCAAATTTGCCACAAAATTCATTTAACTTAGAGGGGAGGGCAAGGAGGGAGATGCAATGAGGTAAAATGAAATACGAGAATTATCGACAGCAGAAATGGTTCTATTACAGCATACAGACCACGTTCTGCAAAGCACTGCATGCACCAATAATCCTTCATCATATGAGTAGATTCACTGAAATCAATGGGTTTCCACAGTAATACCCTATATTGTTACAGGTTTACTTTATATTTGATGCAAGAGAAGCATATTGACTCTAACAAATTAAATTTCTCACTAGTATGTGATAAAATCATCATTTCAGAAAGGAGACACCTGGACTACTGTGTCCAGTTCTGGACTCCCCAGTTCAAGAAGGACAGGGAGCTACTGGACAGAGTCCATCGGAGGGCCATGAAGACACTTATAAGGAAAGGCTGAGAGACCTGGGGGTCTTTAGCCTGGAGAAGAAGAGACTGAGAGGGGACCTTATCAATGCTTATAAATACCTAAAGGGTGGGTGTCAAGAGGATGGAGCCAAGCTCTTCTCAGTGGTGCCCAGTGACAGGACAAGGGGCAACGGGTACAAACTGGAGCACAGGAAGTTCTGTCTCAACATGAGGAAAAACTTCTTTACCCTGAGGGTGACAGAGCCCTGGAACAGGCTGCCCAGGGAGGTTGTGGAGTCCCGTCCTCTGGAGATACTAAAACCCCATCTGAACATGTTCCTGTGTGACCTGCTCTAGGCTACCTTGCTTTGGTGGGGGGGTTGGTCTAGACGATCTCCAGAGGTCCCTTCCAACTCCTACCATTCTGTGATTCTGTGAGACATAAAAACTTGAGAATAATTATCATAATAACTGCCAGAGAAATAAGTGCTTTCTCCTACTCAAAGCTTATTGCCATGGTATGAAATGTTTGGGGTTTTTTTTTCTTTGTTTTATATATGCTTATTTATAGGCCATTTTATTAATTCTCTACAAACATAGCTTTAACATTAAACAAAATTTGAAATAGGAACAAGCTGTACATTTCAACCACAAGGCCAACAGTAAAATCCACCAGTCAGAAAATTTTACACTACAAAGTGAATCATGTACGCCTCTTTAGAATTAAACTAACCACAATAATAGGTGAGAATATTAGCACTTCTACTCCACACTAAATAAGCAGCATGTGAAGAAGCAAATAATTCAAAGTTCCAACAGGTATTACAGTGAACAGCATGCAGAAAACTAGAACAACACATTTTTGTCTTAAAGAAACTTTCTCTCTCGTAGGTTAAAAAAAACCTTTCAGAAATTAAGTTTTTTGAAAACCTGGCTCTTAATAGTTAAATCTTACAATATTGCTGTGAAACATCATTCTAATATGAGAGTTTATAGCAGTTCTATGTAGTTCAGTCAAATTTTTCAGTGTGGATAAAGCACATCACGGTGCTCTTCCTCTTATTCCCATTCTCTTTTATCCTTTTCCAATATTGTTATAGAATTTCAACACTACCATCGGAGATAATGCCACAAAGCATAAGAATCCTCCAAGATCTGAAGAGATTTCTCTAGCCCATAAATCTGTGTAAACAGTGTTTATATACATATGTATACATGCAAAAAAATAAAATGGAACAATTAAAAATTTATTATGCCTTAACATATAAATATTAGTTTGAAATTTTGTATTAGACATTCTGTGATTGCTTAAATAACTGAGGGACTCAGATCAATTTACAGAAAACAAGGAATCAAAAAAAAACTAAGAGAAAATTATAATTTGCATTGGTGGGCATGCAAATATTCCTAAAAATGTATCAGAAGGTGTCGATTTTCATGTTTATTCTATCGAAATAGTATCTTAGATGTACCTTGTGCAAGATAAAAAAAAAAAAACAAACCTCATTTTATTTAATTCTAGCATTTAAAATCACCCCTAGGAAAAGTTTGCAGTTCACAAGGCGAATCCCAAGACAGACATGACAGGTTCTTTACAAAAATTAGCATTCATTTTCTCAAATTTCCTCTAGTAGGAATGTATACACTTTAGACAGAACCCCATACACAATGATGAACTAAGTTATTACATTTCAAAAATCAAAATGAAAATATTACAGCAACATTAGAGAGCCTTCAAAATAACTAAGTTATTGTAGTAAGCACTGTTCTTTGTATTTTGTTTTGCCCTTTCTTTTTTTGCTTTGCTTATTCTTTTTTACTCTATCTATTCTGTGGTAAAAAAATAAGTTCCATCACATCATTAAACACTGTGGAATTTCTGATTTCAACCTTTACCCCTTTTAGAGTACCACAGCCATGTACACAACAACACGTAGCCAAAGCCATTACACTCCAAATATGTACAAAATGCTACTGCTTAACAAGAAATCTGATGTCCATGATTTAAACAAAAAAAATATGAGGTTTTATTTTGCAAAATATTTATTTTTCTTTCTGAAAACATGAGTGTTCTTCACTATTAAAAAAAACCCCGCAGGATTTTTTTTTCAATCAGTACATTATAAAAATGTTTTGAAAGTGACTTACTGATGTAGTATTCTTGCACAATGCTTGTGTAACCATATATAGCAGAATATCCAAAAATTATAATCATAACCACATCTCTGCTGTCCAGCTCTACTATGTGTGCTGAATGACCTTCCACAGCATATTGTTGGCCATGTACAAGTACTGCAGGTGTTCTGCTACTCCATGTTTGACTGTGTATGTTGAAAATCCACAGCTCATCTGTGACATTGCCATTGTTTGTTTCAATTTTGCCTCCATACATGTAGATGTCTTCCTGTAAAAATCGGGAGGGAGAGAAAAGAAAGCAAATAATGGATTACAGAAAGACAACATCTGAACTGCATACTTCTGTGTTGCGTAATATTTCATAATTGAACGATCTGATTTAAATCTTCACGTTTAATCTTACATTAACCAGCTCAATATCAGACACTAATCCCAGACAATGATATTTAAACTAAACCAACAATGATGATGAGGCTATTTCTCTGAAAAATAAACCCAGCCATGAAAAGGACACCAAAATGAATCTCAACTGGATTACTTCAAGCAGAAAAACTTTAATTACATGGTTCTTCTAATCCATACTGCAGTATTCTATTAAAAAAAAAAAATCATGAAAGGAAATGATATTGTTTTCTTAAGGAACAGTTCACAGAGCTAAGCTGTGATTTTCCACACACTCAGTCTATGGGGATTTCATTCAGCACATGCACAAGAGAGCACATTCTCCCTTAATAGCAAAGTAACTTAAGTCTTGAGAAAATTCAGTTACCAGAGCCCAAAGAGATGGGGCAATGTGTGTACAGCACCCTCTTCGGCACATTTGCTAAAATCAAATCCCACAGGGGAATACTTTGAGTTCTTTTAAAGGGATGCAAAACAGATTTTTCAGTCTTCACGAACCACATACCCCAAACAGCAATGCCATCTGTTTTGGTAAGTAATGAATTATTTACTTAAATATTGACTGAAAGCAAATCCTACTAAACCTCAGATTTCATCTAGAGTTGCAAACCAAGGCATACAAATTCACAGAACAAATTCCAGCTTGTTGGCTTCACAGACTGGCTCAAGGACAGTTTATCCTGGGTAGAAAAACCTGCTTTGGGTTCTGAGAATGATACTCAGTCTTCGCTAGGACATACCAGAACCACATACACTCTGCATCCCATCTGCATGGTGTTTGTACACTTGGCAGTTGCCTTCCGCATACGGCAATGTAATATTCTAGGGTTTACCCTAAATTCAATCTTACCTGGTTTAAAAAAAAAAAAAAAAAAAAAAAAAAAAAAGCTGCAGGTCTAGCACATTTGGCAAAGTTTTGCTTGGCATGGAATACTGAGCCTCAAAAACACAGACTAGAAGATAAAAGAAACTATCTAATAGAAGAAGTTTGGATCAATCATGTGGAAATTTCAGACTTACTGTACAAGAAGCTAACGGGATCTAAATAGAAATGTAAGCTGTGTGCTACTATCATCATACACGTCAAGAAAGATGAACTGGCAAGCATGTAAAATACGATAGTAGAATGACAGTCTGTTTAGTCCAGCAAAACAAAGGCTTGAGAGGGTGACAATGCTGCCTATACACCTACAGGTGATGGTAAACAACACAGTCCAGCACCACATGAAAAACGTCTTCATTAATCAGAGTGACTACTCAGTAAATGACTGACCAAACTGCCTGACCTGTCTTCAAGAGTATACATGAAATTTCTGCAAGATTTTGAACTATTTTTTCATTAAGGCAGGTAAATATTTCTTGATTTGGAATTTAAATCACTCCTATGCAGTGATACTCTGTGTTACCGACTAGTTTGGACTGGT